ACTCGTCTGTACTGAGTTTGCCCTGACTCCTAGAGTCTAGTCCTTCAAGGTTGTCAATTCAAAGTCTGAGACATTTCCCAACATCATTCCTTTTGGCAGTCTAGTGAGCTTGTCACAAATTTTGAGGGTATCCCTTTTTCTTGGTCTCTATGCCCCATTATTAGTCTAAAATATATTGATACAGGGAAAGAAAACAGTAGCAAATATGGGGTTCACCTCAATGTATTATTCCTGTTGTCTCCCAATTTGCTTCCTGAAGTTATGCTGCTTTGTGCTGGGGGGTTGGGTGGGTGTGGATGTGGGTGTCCACGTGTACCTCCAAAGAGCTGTTTCTTGTCCATTTACAGCTTTTATATAGTTGTTCTCAGTAGGTCAGTTTCACATGAACTATTCTTCAATAAACAGTAGTGGAATGCCTCATTTATTTTTAACATCATTTTGATTCTGTGTATTTTTGAAATATTTTGCCCTCTAAGCTAAAACTTTCACCCCCACAGTGTTCTTTTTGTGAACTCTGAAGACATACTTCACAAGGTGTATCCTTCTCTGAATGTTAACTTACTCTGAATTATAACTTACTATTCACTCAGCTCTGTCAGCTTTTTCTTTAATTTTCCAGTGGGAATACACCCCACACGTCCTCCAGAGAACACTACAGCTATCTTTCTTTTTGGATCAACATTTTGATACTGAATAATGAAGACATTCATCAAGATGAACCTTACTAGGAAAAACATGTGCATGCACACACATACACACACACACACAAATTACTCTACCTCTCTGTACAGAAAAATTCCCTACAAGACTTGCCCATGACTACTGTCTTCAATTTCTCTCCTTTTCTCCCAAACCCACTGCAAGCAGACTTTCGCCTTGTCCATTCACATAGCAGATCTTGTCAAGGCCACCGGTAACTTCCATGTGGCTAAACCTTTAGTCTGATTCTCAGACCTTATCTTAATTGACTCATCAACGGCATTCAACATACTTAAGTCCCTATGGCTTCCTTGAAACACTTCCCCTACACACACACACACACACACTTTGTGGATACCATATTCTCCTCTTATTTCCCTTCACCAGTCATTCTTTCTCAGTCTGCTTTGCTGGTTTTCCTTCACATCCCAAGCCTTTAGATGTTAGAAAGCACAAGGCTCAGAACTCCTTTTTCCTCCATTTCTCTACACTCATTTTCTTGGTTACTTCATCCGTTTCAGTTCTTAAATACCATCTACATGCTGACAATCCCCAAATTTATACCTCCAGTCTATACCTCACCTCCACACCCAAGTGTGGATATCCAAATATCTCAATATCTCCACTTAGGCATCTCATTGGCACCTCACACATAACATGTCCCTCATGCTGCCAAACGTGTTCCCCTTGCAGTCTTTCCAATTTCAGTGAATGCCAACACCATCCTTCCAAGCGTGAAGCCAAAAGCCTTGGAGGCATTCTTGATCTTTTTGTAGACACACTCCAACTCTCATCCAATTGCAAATCTTTTGGCTCAAATTTCAAAACACATCCCCAGTCCTGGGATTCTCACCACTATCATTTGACGGAAACATGATCATCTCTTGTCGATTATATCATTCTATCCTCAAAACTCAACTGTTCCAGTGGCTTCTTATTTCAGACTACTTAAGATTTCCCATAGTCCAAAAGGGACCTCAGTCCCTCAGCTCCTGTTACCTCACTGAGCTCCTATTATTCACTCCCTTGCCAACTGCATCCCAGGCACTGGCGTCTCTGCTGTTCTTCAAACATTCCAGGTGGACTCTTGGTTTAGGCACATGTCTTTTGCTCTGTCTACAATTCTTTCTCCCCAGACATCTCCAAGGCTTCTTTTCTCATCTTCTTTGGGGTTTGCTCAAATATCACCTCTGCCACACGGCCGTCCCCAGCCGCTCGATGGAAAGTTCAGCTCCTTCCACTCCGTCACCCTGCCTCGCTTTGTTTCTTCATAGCACTTACTGCTACCTGACCTGTATTAGGTTTTTATTTAATTGTTTATAGTCTGCCTCCTCCACTAGAATCTACGTACTTTTAGGCCAAAGACTGTCTTGTTCAACATAATGCTTAGAACAAAATCTTACACCAAGAAAGTGCTTAATAAATGTCTGATGAAATCAAATCCATGATGATTACCACACAGGAGCATAATCTTCCGAAACAAACATTACAATGGAGTATTCATAAATTATGAAAAGCCTTTGCAAATACATATGGACATACACTTTGAATTTACTGGGGAAAGTTTGCTACGTAGGTAGAAATAACAAATACCTCTGTATTAGAAAATGTAGAACAGAGAGGTATTTGCCAAATGATACAAAAATTGGGAATCTAAACATACTTTTATAAATGTAACACATTTTTGAAAACTCTTTTGACATTTTTATATTTTATTAGAAATTAAGGAATCAAAAATCCTACACAATGATCTGTAGTTATAAGAAAACAATAAAAATATAATACCCAAATGATATATAAAAATGTACTTCTGAATTGGCATAGAAATTTCATCTAGTTCAGAATAATATCAATATGGATACTTCCTTTCATATTAAATTCAGAAAATCTAGCAGTTTTCTACGGTATTTTACATTTTCTTAGATTAAAATTTCTTCATTCTTCCTTTGGTTTTGGATAAACAGACATTTTAATTAATGTAGTCACTAATCTGAATTTAAAAATCTATCTCAGATGTAGTTCAATTTTTCTAATTTTTAACAGATTAATTCTAAGACTCATTTATTAAAGTAGATTATAAAAACACTGCTCTAATTTTTACCTAATTAGCTTAAAAAGCACCATCCTTGATATAAGCATTATTTACTAATCTCTAAATCTAATGTAATGTATAAATAAAATACTAACTTTAACATAGGGGTAAAAATCAGTGCAATGAGAAGGTCATTTTTAAAATCAATGACAGGGCCAAGTATCTATGTAATCTCTAAAATGGTACTTTATCTTCCAATTTAAATGTTTAGAAGACTCAAGGTCACTGGAACTGGTTCTATTTTTTAAAATATTTTGTTTTTTACCTATATATAAATAATAGATTCTTATTTGCAAACCTCTGAAGCCAAACAAGATAAAGTTACCATAAAGTATATTCAGTGGTTTTCAAAGAAAAAACATTTTATCCTGGATACCCTACCTTAATGTTAGTTTAGACTGAATATCCAGTGTTTTCCCTATTACGAAGCTTGAGCTCATAGAAAAGAATGAGATTATGTCCTTTGCAGAGGCGTGGCTGGAGCTGGAAGTCATCATCCTTAGCAAACTAATGCAGAAACAGAAAAATAAATGCCATCCGTTCTCACTTCTAAGTGGGAGCTAAATGATGAGAACACATGGATACAGAGGGGAACAGCATACACTGGGGCCTCTCAAAGGATGGAGGGTGAAAGGAGGGAGAGAATCAGGAAAAGTAACTAATGGACACTAGGCTTAATACCTGGGTGATAAAGTAATCTGTACGACTAACTCCCATGACACAAGTTTGCCTGTGTAACAACCTGCACATGTTCCCCTGGACTTAAAGTTTAAAAAAAAAAAAAAGGAAGTTTGGACTGAGTGGGGAAGGAGTTGGATGGCTCCTGGAAATGGACATAAAATACCCTGAGTGGTTCTGAAAGAACAAGTGGGTCACGCTTTGAGCAGTAGTGACGCACCAGAGTGCACCTAACCAGCAGCCCTATAACATGGGCTCCAGGCTACTCACATATCTAACTATTCCTCAAGTGTGAGAGCTGCTAAATTAGGACTGGCATTTGCTCTTAAAAGTTTCTATTGCTAATGTTTAGGAATAATGTAGAAAATTCTCAAAAATGCTTTGGTTTGCTTTGTGCAGAAAACTAAGCATTAGCAATCTTCCCCAGATGCATGGAGCTGCGACCATGGAAAAGAGGCCTGGACCCGGTGGTCACTGTTGCTGCTGCTGCCTCATGTGTCTCATTGCTATAGAAATGGAGTCAGCTGGCCGGGAGCAGTGGCTCACGCCTGTAATCCTAGCACTTTGGGAGGCTGAGGCAGGCAGATGACCTGAGGTCAGGAGTTCGACACCAGCCTGGCTAACATGGTGAAACCCCATCTCTACTAAAAATACAAAAAAATTAGCTGGGTGTGATGGCATGCACCTGTAATCCTAGCTACCCAGGAGGCTGAGGCAGGAGAATCGCTTGAGCCCAGGAGGCGGAGGTTGTAGTGAGCTGAGATCGTACCACTGCACTCCAGCCTGGGTGACAGAATGAGACTCCGTTTCGAAAAAAAGAAAGCAAAAAAGAAATGGAGTCAGCAAGGTCAAGGAGAAATATTCAAACAGAGGCAGGGCTCTGGGGTCATTTTTGTTTTGTCACTCTGTGATAAAGGACAACATTAGCGTTAGTCTGAACACATCTTTTAAAATTCCAGACATCTACAAGTAGGCAATGGGATCCCTCCACCTTACAGCCAGAAATCGTCTGAAAATAATTTATTATGCATTTATATGATACATATAAGTATGTGTGTATATAGTTTATAAATCTAAGTTTATAAATATGCTCATCTTTATATATAACCTTATAAAGTTACAGTTTGGATTGGTAATAATTAGACTGACAAAATGCAATTATCTGACAGAAAAGAAGAAATTAGCTGAGTTGAGATCTGAGAATATAAAAATGAGTGTAAGGACCTGAATCACGATCAAGAGAAACAGTGGGGAGAGGGACAAGAGAAAGACATGCCTGGAGCCTCAGCTCTGCTAATTCCTCTTCCCACTCTCTGCTCTGTTTTCTACAGTAATGTTAGATGGGGATACATGCTCTGAAGAAAAGCCAAGCACAGCAGGAGGACAGAGCAAGAAGAGACGAGGGCTCTGGGAAGGCGTCACTGCAGAGGTGGCGTCTGAGCAAAGGCCAGCTCCCGATGGCACGTGGAGGGTGCGAGGCTCCCCTCCCACGGAGGAGCTTCGACTGTAAACAATAAAGATGACATCATCTGCCATAGCTTTTAATTACGTTTATATTTACATTCAACCCTAAGATCAATAAATGTGGGGTACTTCACATGAACCGTCTGAATTTGAAGATGGAAACTAGAAAAAGAAAATTAGCTTGAGAGATTTCACCACTGACATTTCTCAAAAAGGTTCATGGCTGAAGCACTTTTTAAAAATGTATGAGAAAGTCAGCATGACTAGAACAATCTGAGTCTTATTCAGACTGACATATTGTCTCAAATACTAATATCTACTAGTGTCTACGATTTTGACGGAATTACTAACAGAATGAGACTAGAAAATACATCAGAGTACAAAGTTATAAATGGCATGTCCCTAGATAATATATTCTTATATGTAATTAGTGTGTGAGTACAAACACATGCTAATTATGTTTGTGTATCATTGATAAAATGACGGATTGTAAACACACATCAGGGTCTTCTGAGCAAAGCCTACAGAACCTTGGAGATGCTTTGAGCAAGGCAGCTTGGTGGATCTGACTTTTACTCTCTTTAAAATGCAAAGTGTTCAAAATTAAGTGATTTATTTGTTTGCATTTTTCTCAGTCTAGCATCTCACACTGTCAGACACACAGATAAATAGAACACTTGTTCCTCCAGTTTTCAAGCGATAAGTGGTGTGCTGAGACCATGAGTGCGCCAATGGTTCTGGTGAGGTGGTTTCAAGATGTCACTTGGAATCTCTTCTTTAAAGTCAAGGTTGTCCTCTGAAAAGATTTAGGCACATATTGTGAACCTGGAAACAGCAAGCAAGAGGTAATTCTCATTAAATGTTACAAAGGCAACTACTCAGAATGGCTGTTTTGTACATTCCATGCAAATACTTAAAAATACTTTATTAATACACTTTTGTATAAATTAGGAAACAGTCATATGCAAAAACTCCCAATTAGGGTCCTGAGAAAAAGGAAGGGCGCTCCCCCAAAACCAAGTCGAGATGCAGGCCGTGTGTCCTTCCGAGCTGGTGGATTTGCAAGAAGCTTCTATGCAGAGGCGAGTCCTGGCCCAGGAGGCTGAGGGAGCTCTACTTCCTGGCAGTTCTACTGCTTCCCAGGGGCAGGTGCAACGCCAGGTACTTTAAGGGATCCTTCCCACTACCTGGGATACCCCTTTGGCTCCTTTTTTTTTTCTATCACAGAAATAATAAAAGTTGGTAAGTTAGTAGTTCCCAGTGCTTTTTGACCTGGATGCAAAGCTAGCAAGGAGGTTATGTGGCCTGCTTGCCAGAGAAAAAGAAAATAAACCCCCAGAAAGACAGGAAGGTCCCTCTTATGGACCCTCGATCACTTTTGCAGATATAGAAATGACCTTTGACCATCAGTAATAGCTGTCTCAGAGTTACTGATAAGAGTGCCTCCTCTGAAGCAGTGCATCTGGGCCTGACCCTGGGAGCCAGGCCGTGTTGGATGCCATCATGAAGGCGGATGTGGGTTACATGGGGAAGGGTGTCAGGAAGGCTGGGAGGAAGGCAGGAGTGTGGGTGTGACTGAAGGAGAAGGAAGACAGGAGCGTGGGTGTGACTGAAGGAAGGCAGCACCGCACGCTGCATGGAACCAACATCCGGCCTGAGATCAGGTGCTCCCGAGGCCTGGCTTTTGCGTGGGAATGTCTCCCGCAGAGCTGTGCCACTGAGAAGGACCACAGAAAGATGTGGTTCTTAGAATCACTGATCGAAATGATTCAGAAATTCCCCTTATGAGGATCCTGCTTATGATAAGCTCCACGAAGACTTACACAGAGTTAGAGGAAAATTGAAACAGTTTTGTTCATGACTCAAGATTCAGCCTGACCTCGAAATTAGTGCAGAAGCTTCTGGACTTTGATTTGGAGGACGACCGATGGATGAACAAAGACGAAACATCAAGGAACACAGGTCCCTCTGTCCCTCTGTTCAGTGTTTAAAATGTGCCTGAAGGCCAAACAGTGCTGGGAGATCCGGTGTTCAGTGGGGAGGGTTGCACTTGGGCGGGTGAAAGGGCCTCTTTCCCCAGGAGGTTTTCTGCCCCTCGGTGCCCCAGGGGCCTCTGCACACAGCCTGCCTGTCAGGGGCCCTGCCTGTTCTGCGGGCTCGGAGGCTGCTCACTGCTGGTCCTGAGTGCGTTGGCTTGGCCAGTTCTCTCCAGCAGCACAAGCCTGGCTGGTTCTAGGTGGGGGTTGGCCCTGGACAGGGTCACCCTACCCGGACTTGGATGCACAGTCTTGTTTTTTAAATGAGACAGGGTTGACCTTCAATAGGCTCATGGGCGATCAGGATGAGTCCTTGGATATGCTGAGGCTTGTTACGCACCAGGCACCGTGTTACTTGCTCCGTGTTTTATTTAATCCCTTCAGGAGTCCTTGAGTGAGGCGTTCCTCCCACTTTACAGATACGGAAGCTGAGACCCGCAGGGAATGCCTGGTCCCACAGCACCCAGCAGCAGAGCTCGGACTTGCGTGCCAAGGCCTGCGTCTCTCACCACCACCAGGCACGGCCTCCTCCGGAATGCACAGGCCGGCACCCACAGCCCTGGGCATCTCTGCCCTCCCTTCCGGGCCGCACAGGCCGTGCCGAGCCGCATGGAGCTCCCGGGAGTCCCCTGTGGCCAGTTTGCCTGTGCACCTGGTGGAAAGGAAGAAAAGCCAGCCTGATCCTGAGGGTGCCTGGACATACCCTTAGCACTCCCCAGATGGGGATGAGCTTTGCAGTGTTAAAAAATGGTTAAGGAGGGGAAATATTTTGAACCAAAGAACTAAATGTTAGCTTGTCATTATAGATGCAGAACCTCTTAGAGCTGTGCATTTGGTTGGCTGTGTTCTCCCTTCTAATAGCTCTTTTGTCTTGGGTCAGTAGTTAAGAGGCAGTGAGGCGCAGATGACTGGTGTGGACCGTTCTCTGGGTCCTGCATGAGTTAAGCGGCCATATGTGACTGCATGTGTTAATGTACCTCCTGTGGGCGCCCCCAGGGTCACTGCAGTTCCCCCCACACCGGCTCTACCCCCACCTCCTCTTCCAGAAGGCAGTGAGTGATATTCCAAAGGTGCCACATGAATCCACTCTGGTGTTTAATTCATTCCCGAATGTCCCAGCAGATCGTGGTGGGCTGCCTAAGCTGGTGGCCAGAGAGGCGGCTCCCTGTGTGAGCAGCGTGGTGGGCTGACGTTGACAGAGTGCTTAGGAGGACAGAAACAGCTTTTCGTTTTTGAGGGACAAGACTTATGCCTTCTGCTCCCAATCTCTAATCTGTGTGTGAGGCCGCGCGCGCCTCACCTGCAGCCTCACCTGGGGCCTGGGGACGTCTGCATGGGGCATGCGCCTCATCGTCCCGTCATCACAGCTCGCACCTTTGAGCCGCGTTCTTTCTACGTGGTGAGATCAGGGGCATCGGCCGTGTTTTCCTCGGTGGATTTTTGTGTTTTGTAAGTTGTCTATTTTGATAATGTATTACTTTTATAATTGTAGAAGAAATGAATAGCGTATTTCAAAGCAAAAAGTTACTGATAAGAGAATACACTGACTTGGCATTTGGTCAATGATTAACAGTGAAGATTTAAAACAAATTCAGAACCCAATTCCCACTCCAAACCTCCACTATGTGTGCCCAAACTACCTACTGGACGTCTCCGCTTGGCGTGCCACAGTCAGCGTCCCCAAAAGCGAACTCGTCAGAATCTCTCCAGTTCCCTCTCTCAGCACCACCCGCCGCTGGCCATCCACAGAGTCGTCCGCCAGTCCTCACTCCCTCTCTCTCACATCCCTTGTGATGGTCATCTCCTCCAGGAAGCCTCGGCACCCTCCAGCCACCTGACAGGGGAGTCAAGTGGTCCTGCTCACCCCTCACAGCCTTTTCCAGCTTGCCTGCCAGGCTCAATGCTCCCTGAGGCACAGACAGAAACACCCCTGCTGTTTGAATCCCAGCCTTCGGCACAGACCTTGGCACAGAGTGAGTGCTTGATACCCCATCCATGATTGATAAGCTAACTTGGGCACCTACTTCCCCCCAAGCATCTACAATTGTGTTAAAAGCAACACCTGGGCCAGGCACAGTAGCTCATGCCTGTAATCCCAGCACTTTGGGAGGCTGAGATGGGTGGATCACCTGACGTCAGGAGTTTGAGACCAGCCTGGCCAATATGGTGAAACCTCATCTTTACTAAAAATACAAAAATTAGCTAGGCATTGTGGCATACGCCTGTAATCCCAGCTACTCAGTGGGGGGCTGTGGCAGAAGAATCGCTTGAACCCAGGAGGTGGAGGTTGCGGTGAG